TATGGAGCAGTATCAGACTCATATTCTGACTAGAATTGAGTAGGACTACGTCAGGCTAGATCAAGTGACTCATGTGATGCAAAAAAAATAAATGTTTTCCATCACAGTTTTGGGAATATAAGAATTTTTATACATCCAAAACCCCACTTCATCGAAGCATAAAACAGTTTTATTGGAAAGCATCCATTTTTTTCCAAACCGCAATGTTTCCATTTAACGAATTTAGTTTTGTGATCACAATTTGAAACTTTTTAACGAGAAATAGAAAAAACTACTGATGATATGCTGGTTTAAAATTCATGAATCAGTGATTCACTTGGCTTCACAGGTACAGTATAAAGGTCAGGTAGTTGGAGTTAAATCTCTTGGTCTGATGAGTTTTTCACCAGTGTCAGGACCATGGCAATCATTGGTTTGCTGGGTGAATTACATAAAAAACTAATCAGTACAATGTGATTACAACTACAAAAACAATAGTTTTTACATATTTTCCTGTTACATCCACAAACTTCAAAGTATTTGTTTTGGGTTACAGTATATGTCAGTATAAAATACAGTGTGTTATAGGAAAAAATTATTTTGATCAGATTACGTCTATGAATTATCTCCTCCCCCTTTACTGTCTCTGTCTCTTTCTATCTCCCCTTAATTTCTATCCGCTCTCCCCTTTCTTGCCTCCCTTTTAATCTCTGTGTCTGTTGCATGCTATTTTATTCCCTAAATCAGTTTCACATAAGCGGAAACTTATGGCAACAACCATAATGGTCTGCTTGTAAAAGCAAATCTTTAGGGCTATCATGTAGCTCTGCTGCATCCATTCCCAGAGATATATTGGCAAAACAGGACCCCCTTCCCCCCAAAAAAGTGTACCAATGAAAATCTAAAAAAAAAATACTGTCCTGTATGCATTTTTATTTAGACCACTTTTACTTTTATATGCCTAAACAAAACCCAGTGCAACCAATTTACTTTAGACACTATCAAGTTATTAAAGTAGACAACTGTTACAAGAACAAATACTTGTGCAATCTATAGAAACTATCTTTATGGAAGATGGGGAAAATTAAAGCTTTTTGTGGTTAATGTGAAGATGGATGAAGTTAAGCCCAAAGTGGTTCTGGGAGATAAATAAAGTAAAATGAACTTAACCTCCAAAGAGCACAGGAAATCTAACCCAACAGCTAGAGCGATGAAGAGTTATCTACATTCATGTATAATGGTCTAGTCAAAGTCCAAACCGAATTTCAATTGAAAATGTCAAGGTTTCAAGTTTCCTGATCAAAGTTACCCTGTCCTCAAATTCTAGAACAGTTTAAGCACTATGAATATTCTTCCAGAAACTGTTTTTCAAATTACAGCCTGAGACAGCAGTCAGCAATATGCTGTTCAAGAAGAAAACCATGCAATGTCAGTGTTCTCTTACGAACGAGAAGGAGAACATGTGACGATGAATAAACAGCACGTTGGTGGCAAAATAAGCAGCTTATACTTCAGGACCTGTCTTAAGCCTGGGTGATATAATGGTGTTAAACTGTCCAGACACACTGATGAGAAAGTAACTAAGATGTAGGGAGCCTCAGATGAACCTTCAAATTAGATGCTGATTTTATCTTTCTAAATCCCATCAGATTAACTCATTCATATATCTCAATGGTGCCTTTAAACAGGCATGCATTCTGCCAGAAGTTAACAGTAACCGCAGAGTAAACTCTATTAATACTTGTGTAAACTCCCGCTTTAAACACAAGTGAAGCTATTTTCCACCTGCTCCTATAAAGCGGCTCCCAGATTAAAGGACCTTGCGCGTGCATCCTTTTAAGACGGTTCTGCAGGAAGTTGATGAAAGCCTGGACCACTGACCTGAGACCTTTTCAGGATGAGTGCGCAGCGTGTTCATAAAGTTGCTCATGGCGTTCAGTTCCCTCCAGAGACGACCGACCTGCAGAAAGTCCGGGTCACTGAAAAGGAGCTCTTCTGCATCCGAGTAGAATCGGGCCAGTCTGTGGAAAAATAATGTCATGTTCCTGAGTTTGTTTATTCACAGTTCCCTCCAAACATGTTCCTACATCTTGCAGTTTGTCAGTTTTTAATGTTGCAACCACAAACGTTATTGGCAAAAGTACCATAACTATAAAGCAGAGGGAATGCTGATATGTTTTGTACATCTTTTAGCAAATAAAACTGGGAAAACCTAGATCAGAATATGCATTCTTCCCCCTCTTTATGTTGCTACTCCTAAAAGATTATTTGATCGCCTTCAGATGAAGAGATTTAATTGCAATATTAACACACTATTACCCACTCTGTATGTATGACTTGTTTATATTGTCTCTGTAAAGTACCTTGAGATAACGTAAACTGGTGCTGCATAAATAAACAAAATTAAAATGAATTAAATGTTTTTTGGAGGTCTCGAGATTGAGAGAGCAAATAATTTCATATATCTATAGGCCAATGTTCATCTCTTCTTTCTTTGTATGTTGGTGTTATTGCCATAAACAAATGCAAAATGCATGTCTGTATATCCTTGTTGCACACTGTAGATTATGAAATGGAATATACTTAAGAAATACTATTAGACCTGCAAACCTCAAAAGCCCAAAAATGTCTAGGCTTTCAATTTAAACTGACAGCCCAGACAAGGACACTATTCATCTGAGAAGCAGGCAAGAGAGCCATCTTAAATCTAGAGGAGCTGGGAAGATCTTAAGGAGAATCTTTCAACAAAGAAGCTATTACATCTCCTCCCTAAATCTGGTCTTTATGGGAGAGTGACAAGAATGAAGCTGTGATTTTATTAGGGCCAGTGGTGCCTCCAGAAATGCTTCATAGGGGCGGCCAGATGGGAGCACTAAAAATCTTGGGGTTGCAAACTGAAACTTTCTTAAAATAAGTGCATTTTTCTTGAATTGAGGAGGTTAGTGAAACACTTTGCCAATGGAACAAGAGAATATACATTTAAAATAGCAAAAAAGTAATTGCATTGTCTTTTTTTCAAGTGCATATTATCTAATTATCTTATTTTAAGCATAGAAATACTCATTTTATTGGCAAACCATTTTATTTACCCACTCAAATTGATACAGTTAATTTAAGACATTTTTACTTATTTCTAGATCGTTTTTGCAGGGTATTATTGTGGTTAACCTGCCTGTAGAAATTATAAAGATTTAAGTAAACACCCACTCATATCTTGGTTTAATGTGTGATTTTTAATGTTACGTCGCTGGCTGTGCATAATGGGATGAAATGCTAAACTGATGCTACTACATTTTTGCACTGGCGAGTGGGGTGGCCATTGGGGTGGCCAGGGCATTGCAAGGGTGGCCGTGGGAAAACATAAAGCAAAAGGCCAAAGACATGGATATGAAACCAGGACTAGAGCCTCTGGATGCATAGTGGCCAAGCTACAATAAATGTGTGGGGGGAAGAAGCACTGAATATTTTCACCTTCATTTACACCATCTTTAGGAGGAAGAGGGGAAGCTTGCCTAGAACTGCACTACTTTAAGATGACTGAATATTGAAGTGGCTCTGCTGGCTTGATTTTGATATGATCTTTTAACCTTTTATAAGGCAAGTTACCTTATTTGATCACTTGCATACCCCTTACAAAGGGATTCCCCCCCCTGCGTCTAGGCATTCAGCAAAGATACTACTGTAAATTAAGTTGTAAAAAAAAAAGTTAACAAGTCAAGTAAAAAGGTAAAAAGCTATTTGAAAAGTTTAAAAGTAAAGTGAAAAAGTTAATAAGCCTAGATAACAATTATATTAGGTTTACAAACTAAAAAATGTAAGTGCCAGTATCAGTATTAATGCCTCTAATGTTATGTTGGATTAAAAAAAATATGCTTTTTTGAGTGTTTTTCATGAATTTCCTGTAAGAAGTTATTTTTCTTAATGTATCTGGGCAAGTTGGTCTTTCTTGTTATTAGGTCATTTTTGCCATCAGAATATCCATATTTTTTTTATGTTACAAAGGTAATAAGGTGTTTTCCTGGATTCCAATAACACTATTGGCTTTACATTTTGATTGGCTTTACATTTTGATTTTCAAAAAATTTCACTGAGTGGCCTATAAAAGGTTAAGGCACTTTACTTCCTCCATTTGTGGATAAAAGTTTTCTTTTTCAGATTTTCTTTTATCTCTGGTGTTGGATGCTGCCCGGCTTAATATTATTTAACTTTTTTACACTTGCTACAATGCGTAACCCTAGCAACATCACCAAGTTAAGTTTTTCAACACTCCAAAGCTTAAATATTACTTCAACTACTTTTGCAAGTTCCAGTTGAGTTAAAAAGGAGGGGCAGAGGATGCTGAGCAGGAGTAATGTGAAGAGAGAGGAGGAGGAAATTCAAGTCATCTCTTCCATCAATCATTATGGGCCCTAGCAAGGACAAGTGCATTTCTAAAGCCTCTCCAGATCTGGTGCAAGAGAGATCTCTACAGGAAATCCTTTCTGTCTAAAGCCATCGACATATACAGCTCATTTAAATAAAAACCTCATAAAACATTTAATATTTGAACATATTTTAACCAGTATTTTTAATTGCATTCCATTGAGCTGAAGCTGGTTATAGTTTATGGGAACATTGGAGAACAAAACTTGTTAGGGGTTCTGAGCTACTCCAGACTGGTTTACTTTAAAGCATAGAATGGCCTAATTAAAGCACAGAGCTATTTCAGAACCACTCGGAAGATGAAAAGACTGAAATATTACAAAGCACTTACAGCAAAATAATTAATATCAGTAAGTCGGTTTTGTTTAAATAAGTTTATTTTCCCTTCCTTTGGTCTTCCAAGTAGGACAATATGTAATGGAAAAAGAAGATTTATGTTAAAATAAAGAAATAAAAACAACTCCATTATTTTATTTAAAGTGTATGGAATCTAATCATCTTATTTATGGGCAAAAATATCAATTCCACTCACAGATAAGGTTACTTAAATGCTAAAATTAAGAACCCATTCACTTATTTTAACAAATTATTACTTTAAGTTTAGTTTTTGCAGTGACATAGCTTGGGCTATCTTTTTAATTTCTATTTTTCATGCAATTAAATGCATAAAATCTTTTAATTGTGAGGCACCAGAAGATTGATCTAACTAAAACTCTGCTGCAGTTGTTTGAGGCTTACATGGAGTTGTTGTAGTTGGACACCAGACCCGGAGATTCACCACGGGTGGGGTACTGAAAGCAAGGGTTGTTGGCGTTGCAGAAGATTCCCTGAATCCACGGCAGGATACCAGCGGAGGGCATGGCTTTGTTAGGGAAGTGGCCTGAAGGACAAAACATACCATCTCTTAGCAGTAATAGAAAATTTGGGAAAGAAAGGAATGCCTGCAGGGCAGAAGTGACAGTTTGTTCTCTCTAGTTGCTCTTGGCTCACATTCATGTTGACGGTAGAGAGGGTTGACTCTCCTTAGCCACACCAGTCCCATAAACAGCATCACGGGCCACACGATCTCCATGAAGAACCGGATCTGATCCACGCACACACATACAAACAAGTGTATTTTAATGACTGCTTTCAGAGCATTTCTGCATTCTCACATATAACCTTTTTCTTAAAGAGAAGAATTCATCATAGTCTGGCACAAGGCCAGTAATCGTTCATGCCTGTTCAGACTCAGCAGGGTGTGGCACTCCTTCATGCAACATTAACATATTTATAACAATAGTATTAGATTTGTTGAAAATAAAGCAGTTATAAGAGCAGATACCATGATGGCATTACGGAATCTGAATTAGGACTGCGATGTAGTGATTGCCCAACTCTGCTGGTCTAACAGTGGTGGATGAACCACAGATGAGAAGACGTTACCCTCTGCCGCCTGCGGATGGTCCAGTTCTTCCACAGCAGGAGCCTGACCTGTCTTCCTGACCCCATGGTGCCTCCTATTCACCCCCGCGGGGGACGCTCTGGCCCTGGCGGACCTGTATTCAACCAGTCCAGAGTGATCTGCTGTTCTTGGAAGAGCAGTGCTTTGTTTTACTGACACATATCCTCATGATAGGTCTGCCTGTTCAGCTGCAGAGAGACCCGGGTGAAAGCTAACAGAAGCTCATAAAAAAGGGTTAAGAACTCAATACTCATGGTCAGAATAAAAGCTGCAGATCTTTTTATATAAATAAATATACTATTGGAGGATTCTATGCAAGTTTTCTCTGTTGCATATTTATACAACAAGAACCGAGTTTTTTTTTCTTTAATACTTCTGTTACTAAGCCACAATGTTTATAGTAAATACATTACACTAATATGCCACTCACCTCAGAGGAAATCTTTAGCTGTAGATTGACATCCAGGAAATAAAAAATAAAACATTAGAGCTCATGTTCTCTCTAGTGTTCCCTGTTGTTGCAAATGCAGCTCGTTTCCAGACCTCGTGAATAGTTAAGAGGATTGATTTAATCTACTTTCTGAGCAATAGGAGAGACGGCTAACCTCCTTCTTCCACTGGCAGAAACCTTCATGTCCTTAACTAACCAAGCCTTTATGACTGTTATGGTGCTAAAGTTACTGAGGAGCAAAGGTAGTAAAGCTTCATGTTATGGCAGGACAATGGAGAATGGTGGTTTCTTTTGTTAAAGATGTGTTTGTAGCTCATGATGATCCAAAAACACGGTTCTGCTGAGGCGTTAAGGAGGTTCGGGTTGATTTTTTGGCGGCTTTCAGGGTCATCTTGCTTTCAACATCCTCCATATATTTTTGGGGGAAAGTTAAGCAGGTATTGTTTTTTTTTTATGTCTTTTCGGATTTGTTGCCAAGAATTGATGGAAAATGAAAATTAGCCTTTATATTTTTGGGAGGATGTGGAGAGCCCACCTGCCCCCACCCACACCGAAAAAATAATGCAACTGTTTTTGGCATTTATAGTTGCATCCTCACCACTTTCTACAGAAGCACCATAGAATATGTTCTGACCATCTGTCTCTCTGTGTGGTGTGGAGGCTGCAGCGCCTCAGACTGGAAGAAAGTGAGTGGTAAGAACAGCAGAGATCATTGGGGATCCTCTCTCCTCCATAAAATTCATTTCCTCCCAGCACTGCGTGTCCAGAGCCCGTAACATCAAAAATGACCCCTCACACCCCCACCATGGACTGTTCTCCCTGCTGCCCTCTGGGAAGAGCCTTCGAAGCATTGGATGCAGGTCCAGCAGATTCCAGGATGGTTTCTTCCCCACTGTCATTAGACTGCTAAATGTTTTGTAAAATGGGTTATTAAAAAAAACAACCTAAATGTTAGAACTATAACTATACAGTCATATGTTTACATCACTGCTGCTTAGCTTATCAAGGCTGCACTTTGAAAATTGAAATAGTCTAGAGCAGGGGTCTTCAACGTTTTCGAGGCCAAGGACCCCCAAACTGATTGCGAGATGGAGCGGGGACCCCCTAATTATATATATTGTATGAAATTGTGTTATATCAAACTGGTCCTATAGTCACTCTATTACAGATGGAGTCATGTAACGAAAGTCATTTCTCCCTGGGATTATTAAAGTATTTCTGATTCCTGGTTGATGGGACAGGTGTTGTGAATGAAATGGTGTCCAGCTTGAAAGAGCTCCAGTGTGTTGCTGAATGTGTGCATTGATGACTGAAAGACATCTTCTGCTTTCATTTATCTGTTTACTACAGTCGGTTGGATTCATGTTAATGTGTATTTAAAGTAATTTTAATTAGTGCAAAAAATTGCAGGAGGGAATATAAAAAAAGTAATCAACCAAGACTTTCGCGACCCCCATGAAGTACCTCCGCGGACCCCCTAGGGGTCGCGGACCCCCTGTTGAAGACCTCTGGTCTAGAGAGCTGATCTAAATGAAATTTATTTTTGTTAGCACGTGTATACAAAACAAAATCTAAGTTTGTCGGCCAAACTACCAGGTGGAAGGTTTAGAAGGGTTGTGTTTATATCTTTTAGGTTATTATTAGGTGCATCAGGCAGGTATTTCTACTGAAAAATAGGATTTAGAGTTTGTCATTTGTAATTTGTTGTCTTAACCAGTCACACAAGGGCAACACATTTAAGCTGTAGACCCTTTGGTACAAAGAATGCCATTTTTTTTTTACATAAGACCATCCACAAAAATCGTATCCATCTTTTAATTATTTTTTAATTTAAGAGTTCATGAAGAATATATTATGTTGGTGTTGATTAATTTATCTTATTGTTATTCTAACTCCATGAAATGAAATCTATACGAGCGAGGATTTTAGTCCTTTTTCTTGTCTAACCCCAGGTGACCTACCTTACTTGCTCTCATGCTTTTCCTCTTTTTTTATTGTACTTTTTTCTGAGATGCTTTTCTTTGTGCTACCCAGCTTAACTTAGAGATGTTTTAGTATTACTTCGTTTGCCACTCTGGGACAATAAAAATGCTTCTATTGTATTCTAGTGCTTGCAATCTCTCTGGTTTAGAAGTGGATCAATGGCAGTAGCAGAACTTCAATCAATCATGTGTTTGGTGTTTTTTTTAAGGACTGACTTTAGCTCAAGTTAGCTTCAGAATCCTCTCAATGCTGCTGATGCATGTTTTGCTGGACTTTTACCTTCCACTCTTTCCATTGTTCTTGGGTGGCTTCCCCTCCTTTTGCAGCTTCAGCATAACTATAAAAAGACTTAACATACACCTATGAGTTACTGTTTTCTATTGCTTTAAATGTTTTTGTTCCTATTTATATCCGCAATCTCCTTCAATTAAAAAAGACAAAAGTTTAAAGGTATAATGGAGGATTTTCGTAAATATTTGAAAAGACCTGCACATGCACCCCCCTATACCTGCTCCCCAGAGGGATATATGTGCGAGACCATGCACGAACCCATTTCTCCTCATGCATGCTCTTTAAAAGTTGCTGTTTGCATAATTTATACAAGCTTACTTTCCAAAAGAAGATTTGCAATTTTTCCACTATGTCTGACTCACCACCGGTGAGTGAAAATGAGAACGAGCACGTAGGACGGCCTTACGTAAACATATCACCAGAATGATTAAGAATTAGGAGGACCACTTAGATGATGAAAAAGAGAACATCCTTCACTATACCTTTAAGGTTCAGCACAGAGCCACAATAAAGGTGGAAAAAGAACATTCCAAGTGACCCGCTAAATAAAACCAGCAGTTTTCAAATGATAGCAACACAAAAAAAATTTGATTCATGTGAAAAAAAAGCCAAGCCTTTGTTAGAATTTGTCAGATATATTTTAATAACTTACAAAAGGGTGTTTGTTTAAATGTACCTGTTTTTTTCTCCTTTTTTTTTCTTTTTACAAATGAACCTTTGAACATTTTATTACACATGAACGTTACAAAGAAAATAAAAACTGCTTAAATAAAAGGGTGTTCTTCCTATTACAATGAACATGTAAGGTCTGTGTTACTGATACGACTACGTTTTGTAAAAATACAGCTTTGGCTATTAAACTTTCGAGGTGATATAAAAAAAAAAGTGAAAAACAAATTAGTGGCAACTGTAAAAAAAAACACAAAGCAAAAACTTGTCAGACAAGTTGGCATCATCCAAGTTTAAAAATGTAAAAGCAAAAGGATCACTAGCTTCTGCGATCCTTTCTCTTTACAGAACTCCACTATCAAATGTGGATGTCTGCAGTATTTCACCAGCTTTATACACAAATCATTAGAGCAATAACCTTCTTGTAACAGATTAAAACACTCCTTCTCACAGTAGATAAAACACAGCTCCATCGGATCTGCAGAAGAGTATTCATGTCGGGTTTAAGTGCACTGGATTGTTTTCAGTGTTGTACTTTCAATTATTAGCACTAATCCAATGATTCCCACCCAACTTTTTTGGCATTAAAACAAACATCCATAATGAATCTGTAGAAACTTTGTACAAAATATATATATATATATATAAAAACATAATTGCACAGTTTTATAGAAATTATAAATATGGTGTTCTGAGCGAGTGACGGGATAAGGATTGAAGTATCTGTAGTAGTTTAAGTGCGTCCTGTTTATTTGGGGATGAATATCTCTGCTGCTTCCAGCATCTTCTCCTTTTTTGGGATGATATGGAACTCATTGGGCTTCAAGCGCAGCCTATTTTAGCTCACAGCTCAGAAGTTTCAGACAAAATGAGCCTCTCTGTGTTCTACCTCTTGGAGGCGCCGCGGCCGCAGTCTCTGGTATACTGGTTTGGTCTGGTTTGGCCCCATTTCTTCAGGGCTGGAGCTGGGGGACTGAGACATGGACGCCTGGTCGGCTTCCTCCAGAGGCTCGTCTACTGAAACCTCTATTTCAATGCCCAGTTCCTCCTCCTCCTCGTCATCATCCTCATCCTCGTCGTCGTCATCCTCCTCGTCTTCTTCCTCCTCAGCGCTGTTAGCTAACTTGCAGCTCTGCAGCCCCTTGGCTTTGCTCCTAGAAGGAGGCTTGTAGAAGGTTCCTGGAGGAGGCTGCAGAGTCCTTGGAGCTCTGAAAACTGTGGCGATCGTGCTGTTCTTTGACACGTTGTCCTCCCTCTTTAGAGTCCTGCTGGGTCGAACCGCCACCGTGTACGGTCTGTTGGGGTATATGGTGCTGATGGTGGTCCCTGCCGTCCCGAGGTTTAACGCAGACGGCACAGACGACGATAAGCTGCTGCCGTCCAGCTCTGAGCTTTCAGAAGGGGAGCTGGCTGCCAGCCTGGCGGCTCTGGAGGCCACTTCGTATTTATACTGTTTGTCCCATGTTCTCCTCAGCGTCTGCGTGTCGATGAATGTGCTCCTGTAATGAGCGCCGGCGCGCAGTTTGGTATTCTCAGTCTCGTCCACCTCTTCGATGGACTGGTCGCAGCTACCTCCCTTCTTGTTCTCCCAGGTGGCGCTGTTCCGGGTGTTGTTCTCATCCACCTGGCCTCGGCCGAGAACCCGCTCGGCCGGCATGCTCATTGGCCGGGAGGACAGTTTGCTGCGGGGGTGTCGCAGCTGGACCCTGCTGACAGTGACCTTCTGGGAGCGGCAGAGACCCTTCTCCCCGGGTTTGGGGATCTCAGGGACGCTTGATGACAGCATCCCATTAAGAGTCGCCGAGTCCACCTCGTCTCCTTTAAACACAGATCAAAAAGAGTCAATATTTTACCAATCCAGATCTTTCCTGATCCTTTAAGGAATGTGTTTTATGAAGCTGAAACACACTGACCGGGTTCAAAATCACTTCCATCGAGCGTTGATGCGGTCTCCTGTACCTCAGCCAATAAGTGCGCAGAAGGAATTACAGAGGAATGCCTCTTAAACACCTTTGAGCTCTGCTGTAAAATCAGAAAATAAGTATTAACAGACAAAAAAGGGGCAGATTTAAAGAAACCAGAAGGCTGATAACTGAAAAGTTCTCACCTCTTTGATGTCTCCCAGCGACTTGGAGTGTCTGCTCAGCTGCTCCTTCTCCTGCTGGCTGAGGCGGGGGTGAGAATCCGCCTCTGTGGCTGAGGTGTGACGCAGAGGGCTGAGGGGGGTGTCGAAAATCATCTGGTAGTGTCGGATTAGAAGCTCCACAATAAGTGCCTGGTAGGGGTAATCCACCAGCGAGGAGAGGGAAACCTCAGCGTCCGCCTGCCTCGGCTTGATCAGCGTTGGGCCGAAGATGATGCCGAGGTTACTGGCAGTCATCTTGTTTTCCTCCGAACACTCGCTCACCCTTAAAATTAGAGAAAAGAGACAAAGCATTAAGAAGATCAGCTGCTATGTTGAAGTATTAATGTTTTGTTTGGAGAACTTCCTCCTTTTCCTACCTGTGAAGATGCTCTATGAGGAACTGCAGGGTCTTGTAATGCTGCGGAGGCAGCTGTCTCAGCAGATCCTTGATTTTGAACAACGCCCTGTTGAGCTCCACGCTGACCTGGGTGGATGTGATGCTTTCTGGACTGAGCCGCTGGGCTTCAAGTTCTTCCACGATGATACTCTGGCATTCCTTGGCCAAACCGATGAAGTCGTTGTAGTAACGGAACAGGATGAGCGGCTCTGGAAGCTGGAGAGGACAAAGTGGAATCAGCAGACATTCCAGCAAAAGTCATGTCTCTTTTTATCTTAAATGCTGTGAGAAAGCAGCCTACCTGTCTCAGGTAGAGCTTGAGAACGTTGCTGATGTCGTGGGGGTACAGTTCAGACAGCTCCACCAGGTCTTTGCCATTCTCAAACGCCTGGCACAGCTTCTCCACCCGGGACTTGGCACCGTTCACGCGGTAGATCCCCTTCAGAGCACAAAAACAAAACGCTTTCAGCACGGCAGACTTGGATGGCCTTTTATGACTCACAAAGGAGAAACCAGAGGCCAACGCTTAAAAAACACGGGGAGAAAGGCCATGCAACCTGAAAACTGTTTAGTTAACTTTTAAATCAAGGCGTGTGTCATTTTGCTTCTGCGTTTCTCTTAGAGGCGAAGAAAGAATCTTATTACCGGTATTCAAATCTAATCTAATGTTTATTTCCTATCTTTGATTAACAGGATGGATTTCAGCAGTCAGTGATTTCAGAACTCTACTAAAAAAAATATTTTTAACATTTATTTGTGAGAGATAATTCCTCACATCCAGACTGAACTTTATAGGGATTTCCATCATTTAACCTTTTCAGCTCATTTTGTTTTTGAGGCCTTTCAAGCTGAAAAATAAAAAACAAACAAAAAAAAACAAAACAGGACTGCTATATAATTAAATGCAAAACTTTTTTACTGGTTCAGTAATGCAGCGGTCACAATGTTTGAGTTATTTGTGATTTAACAACGAAAAAGTCTTTTTTTGGCCTTGAAAAAGATATTTCTAAATAAATAATTGCAGAAACATACTGAAAATCCTTGAAAAGCCAGCAGATTCTAAACTTCCCATTCTTTTCTGTAACTACAGCACATTAGAACTGAACCAGTTGAAGAATATTTCATCCACAATGGTTTTAGTGGGCAGTCGGTCAGACAGAGCTGCCATTTTAATTTGCCTCATAAAAAAGGAATCTAGTCAAATCAAACAGCTGAAATCCACTCTAATGACACAGCCCTTGATCATAACATCATCAATTCTGTATCATCAAAATGTACCGAACAGCATTAAATCAATAAAATTAAAAGAAAATGAGCTAAATTGCATTCTTTTGTCTATAAATAAAGGAATTATCATTCATGTTTCATTTCAGAAAAAAAAATAAATCATTGTGTATCAATGGTGGATAGTTCTACACTAGATAGGCCTGTATATGTGGAAGCAAAAATGTTAAATACCTTGATATTAAGCGCCCTGTTCTCTATTTCAGATGTGCATTTGCGGATGATGAAGGGGACGCCATCAGGGGTGTTTTTGGCGGTCTGGGTGAAGTCGATGCCGAACAGGTGAAGCCTGCCCTGCAGCTTCTTATGGCCGCACTGGATGGCCAGGGTTTCCAGGCACTTCTTGTGACAGGCCAGGGAACACTGCAAACCAGACATTAGAACAAAACGCTATAAGATAAAACGATTCAATAACAAACCATGGATTAAAACTCCCTTATTATTCTTATAAGGAAGCATAAATAAAAAGAAACAGGAAATGCGTAAATATGCAGCTACAAATAGGAATCTGATAACTGCTTCATGGGAACCTAAATTTAAGCCAAGATTTCCTTATAACCAGAACACTGGAGCCACATGAATGTTTAAGTCAGTTTCCTGTCAATATGTCAACCAGCATTACATAATCTTTTTCCACTAACTCCTTTATTTGCCTTCCTTGGTGTATCTCATAAATATGGACAGAAACTTGATCTTAAGTCAACAGCAGATGGAGGCTTCACAAGGATGATGGAGAGGACTCTTCAGAAGACAAACAAAGCCTCTTCAGTCCCCCGACTGAGACCAAGCGGCGGGTTTGGTCTCCAAGGAGAGAATGTGACCATTTTTAAACTTTTCCTTTTAATTCCCTCCCTTTCAAGCGTTTCGATTGGGGGGGGAAAGTGGCTTTTTTTTGTTGAAATTTCTGCTCCCGCGGGTGATAAAGAAGCTGTTGTGCGACTTTGGCAGTCTTTTTCCTAAGGTTGAATGCAGCGAGCTGGAATTACTAAAAAAGGTCTGAACAGTAAGGTTTTGGCCTGGATGGGTTTCCTTGTGTTCATTAAAAAGAAACAAACTGAATCAAATAAAGCGAGGAATGTGAGCTTACCTCCTCACACTCTGCTCCATGAAACACAACCAGACTGTCGCATTCTCTGCATTTGGACGGAGCGCGAAGCTTCCTCAGCTTGTGTGTCTGAGCTGCTTTGGACATCTGGGTGTTTCTGAATGGTCCTGGGGAGCTGGCTGTCTCTATTATCATCTCACTTAAACCTGAGAGTGAAAAGGGGAAAATTGGCTTTAAAAATAAATAAAAAAGGAAAAAGAACAAACTCTCTCCAATAAAAATGGTCAAATACATCCAATAAACAGTTCTGGTTTCACTCACCGTTATCCAGCGGGGAGGGGGGCTCTCTGTCATCCAGGTCATCAGCAGACGACATGGTACCCGTAGAGGGAGTTCTTGGCAACCTTCTCTTGAAATCCCCTGAACAAAATGGCAGAACACACATGTAAGCCCACATCTCAGATCAGAACGCATGTGTAACTAATGCTCACAGTGAAATTACGGAGAAGATCCGATTTTTTAAAGCAACATCTGGAAAGGTTTTGGATTCCCGCCGTTGATGCTTAAACAACTTTGGAAAATGTTGGTGATTAGCATAAACAAAGGTTGATTAATGGTTGCTAACGGGACCATTACATATTTATATAATACTGAAGAACCCAATGAGGAACTCTAACCTGGGATACATTTATAGCACATCGTTTACACCTTTCTGTTGGTCAATGGGGATGAGATGAGCAAATCCTTAATAATGAGTCCCAATTGATTATGCACACATACCCACCCACACCAATCAACAAGGGCTATTTGTACCTAAGCTGTTTGACTGAACTGTTCTGCTGGGAGGAGAACCTCTGCTCCAGGCTCAGGTGCTGTAGATGGTCTTCTAATACAGACCAGTCTTAAAAACAACTCTGATTAGTTTAGAAGGTGTTTTACAGCCGAATGCCATTACCACGTTTCACCTTGACGACTCACTTCCTGTTTTGCATATAGGCCTAAAGAATTCCCATTTGGTCTCATCATCCAACAGCATTCTCCATAACTAGAGTGAATTTCTTCTTTAGACCCTTCCAACTAGCAGCAGATCTCTATCTGTCTGATAAATCCCCGTCCAGCTTATCAGTTTAGGTTGAAGAGGAAATGCTTTCTTTCCATTTCTGGGTGAGGGATTAAACCATTATAAACCAATGTTTAATTTCCAAGTATATTATTAATCAAGTATTTTTTAATTGAATTACATTTTATGGAATCTTGGAATATTTTAACCAAACTCCTTTAAACTCCATAACAGTTTTGTCTGACAGTCTGTCATGTATTTTAGTCTTTAAAGTTATAGGGAAGCGGCTGTTCCAACAGTTGCATTTCGTAATTCTTCCCAGTGATGCCCAACTTTACACGAGTGAATAAAGTGAATGTGATTGGTCGTTTATCAAAGGGGAGGGACTTTTTGTGGCCTCGCAACATTGCCAGTTCTGTTAGCTCTACGCCTGCCAAAGACACAGACGTCCATCCCCATGAACACTGGGACGCAACTCAGTGGGGAAGGACATGATTCTTATTTTAACCGTTGTGTATATTAG